GCAATGCACAGCCCCGAGGCTCCTCGAGCGCCCTTCCCGCACCCCGCGAACTTGCAAGCTTTGGGAGCTTTGTCAGATCCGGCACCGGTCGTCACGTCGATGTCCAGGTCTGGATCGTTCTCCGAGTGAGAGTGATATTCTTCCTGCTCCGGGAGAGATGCCTGAGTCCGTAGCAAGCCCGGCATGACGCCGCCGGCGCTGATCCAGCGAGCCGACGACGATCCCTCGTCCACAACCTTCTTGATCCCCAGGAAGAGCCCACCATCCTTGTCCTCGTCCGAGTTTCTCGAGAGTCTCAGCGACAGCGAGTCTTGAGGGAGCGAAACCGAGAACTTTTTCAAGCCGATGTCCGACTCGGTAGTGATCGATGGCGAGCACGCACTGCCGCTGCCACTCCCACTGTCGGCCTGCCCAAGACCCAGAGCGACGCTGGGTCTAGCCGGGGGCGAGCTCCCAAGCGCCAGGACGATCTCCTGCTCGCCAAATTCCCAGCTTCCAGCCGCGTCCCTCTTCCTCTTGATGCTCACGGGCGAGCTCGAGAGCTTGTCAAAGTTGCTCCAGGAGAGGGTCTTCTTGAGGCTAGGGGGAGGAGCGGCGGCTTCGCCCGGAGATCCACTGTCGCCCAAGCTCTCCATGCCAATTGAGAGCGTCGTCGTGGGGCTCTCGCAACGCTTGTGCCGCATCTCCAGTCCCCTAAGCTTGGCGAGGGCGCCCTCTCGATCCAGGCCGACGCCGAGGACTGTCCAGCTCCCATAGGTGTCGCCCCTCCTCAGCCTCTGCGTCCCCTCCATGGCCGCGAGCACTGAAATCTGGAGCTCCTGGCCAGAGAATGCGTCAATTCAGCCTTGGATCTTGGGGAATTCGGCCGTCAAGAGGACTGATCACGTACCTGGAGTTGTCCGCCGCTGCGCTCCAGCGCGACCTAGGGCGCCATTCCCAAGCCCTTTTAGGGCAACAGCCGGCAGGTTGAAGGTTCGAGTACTGTCAAAGCAATCAAATGGACAAACGTGTCCGCGGCTCCGCATCACATCGAAAGTAAAAGAGAAACAGACTCGTGAGTCGTCTAAGTAATGGAGTTGAAAGTTCTTAAAACCAGCATCTCCACCAATGAGAGAACCACTAGCAACACTCGCTTTTTAATCTTCCTCATTATTTGCTTATACGGCATCTAAGGGATGATGAACGGGAAGGTCGGCACGAATCTGTGCCGACCTTCTCCTTCATACGTGCCTTGAGCAATTTGAGAATGAGTACCGAACTATGTGCCAAATGACTTGGCCCGACCTTTACAGCCCTTATTGCTAGCCCATCATAATTTATAAATCTTCTTTATCTGGAAGTGTATTAAGTAGAAATTAAAGATAAAAACATTATTTAATGTATAAAAAATTTCCCAAAAGACACTTTTATCACTCATTTGATGTCAAATAAAGACATTTAAGTTAAGGTAATAAATACTGAATAAGAAGATTCAAAAATCTTTAAATGGCTTATGTAAAATACTTCTTCATTTTAATATTGATTGTGTTACAGCTTTAGATAATAGTATTTGTATTAATAGTTAATGTTTGTATTTTTTGTCAAAATTTATTCAATTTTTTCCTCCAAAAATGTTGAGAAATTATCATCTGAAAAATGATAACATCCAATTTTTTTTTCCTATCTTTATCATAAAGAAGGTATAAGTTTTTTAATAGTTTTTACACTTAGAAAGGGAAAGGTATAAGGATTTTATAATTAAGAGTTTTAAGCATCAATACCTATAACTTTTCATTTAAAATAACAATACTCTTTTTTTAATTTGGAGATGGTTAAACCATCTATTTTTATTTATTGCAAAAAATCTATCTAAATATTAACAAATTTTTTTTTTAACTATATGCTTATAATTCCAATTAAAATATTTAGTATAATATTCTAAAACCCCCTAAACCTTAAACCCCCCGCTTACCAGGAGTTAGTATCTAGGACAAGATTGAAACTTACTAAATATGGAATGCCTTTAGATTATAAATTTGGACACAGGATTAACACCATTGTGTTCAGGATAATCTTTACATTTTGTAAATATGCCTAATTAGAAAATCTAAACACTTTCTATAAATAGCAATTGGAATTGAACAAGATTAATACAAAGGGTACGACAGCAAGGGTGTTTGGCAAACACAGTAAGCTATTATCTAGTGATATTGAAAGACTAGTCTTAATACATAAAGGTTTTTATCAAGCTAATTGTGAGACACAAATCCCTAAGCCCCAAAGTGGAGTAGAAAGGGTGTCACATGGTAGTGGTTGAAACAGAAGTCTAATAAGCATAACATGTTTAGATTAAAGACTTTAATTTGGAAAGTCGAGAGTGGGAGTGGAATTCTAAACAAAGTGTTTGAAGGATGAGCATAAAGCAATTGGTAAATAAATTTCTAAAAAAAGACATAAAAAAGACTAACATATAGCAAGTGTCGTGACACATAAAAGTGTCAGAAACGAATCCAAGGAGTCCGAGAAGGGGTTCTAAATGGAGTTCAAAATGGACCCAATATGGAATTCGAGATGGAATTGAGATGAAGTCTAAAGTTAAGGTTGAGAAAGAAACCAAGATTGAGACCAAGATTGAGTTCAAGTCCAAAGGTGAAAGCCCAAAGCAATTGGTGAGCTCCAAAAGTATAAAAAGGGGAAGACTTTAGTGAAGCCAATTTAGCCAAGAAAGGCTAGTGTGACCAAAGAAGGATATATTTACGTGGTAGGTGATGATATAATCATCGAGGAGTCCAAGGCTAGAGTGAATACAAATGAACAAGTGGGGTAACTTGGTGAAATGTTCAAGAATTGATTTTAACTCCCTCGGGAAATTAAATTGTCAATGCTCTCAATCCAAGTGTGGGTAGCACTACTTACTTAGATACTTGGCATGGCTCATTAGAACCTTATTCTAACCACATAGCTAAGGCATTTAAAGACAAAAAGTGGGGAAAGTACCTATGAAGCTTGCATAAGGCTATGGTGTTTCAAAATATTATTCCAAAGTTCCACACTATAGAAAGGAAGAGGAATAGTCCTTTTGTGTAATGACCAAGATGCAATCATATGGCAAGGAAGTCCTAGAGGTCAATAAAACATACCTTTATACCCTAACTTAGTGGTAATGTTAGCGAACATGGCTAGGACAGAAAGGGACATGGTGGGGATCAAAAAAGGGATGTTCGGGAAAGTTATTTCTCATATCTTTGGGCATTCTAAGTATGTTAAAAAGTGGTTCTAGGATGACCATTCATAGACGAATAGTCTAGTCTTTGAGAGATAGGATTATAGCATGGGTGGTCTAAGACTACCTTTGAGGTGTCAATCATGAAATCAAATACATAGAGCACTTGGACCAAGTGCAAATGTTGAATGGCATAGATGCTATTTATGAAGCTAATAAGTCCCTAAGTCCGGAACACGACTTATAGAGGTTATGAGTGAGATTCCTCCAAGTGGTTGGAGTTGTGGTTAAGTGACTAAAGTAGAATAGAAAATTTAGTCACTTAAAATTTGGTATTAGAGTTATTCCTTAATCTAACTTTTATTGGTGGTAAAGTATATTACCATTTATATTGGCATCAAGAAGTCCCAGAAGTGGGTCTATCCTCGAGAAGTAGCATCTGTAGAAGGCATGACTCTCCACTTTAGTTTATACGTGAACATGTATGCAATATGGTGGATAAAAAAGGGGTCAATAAAAGAATAATTTTGGGATATTAGGAACAATATAAGATTTTCCTTAGAGAGTTGAGGATGTGATTCAAATAAACATTTAACTTAGCAAACTGGTTAATATAGTTATGGTAAATAACTATAGTTGGGATTATGGGAAGGATGAAGACTTCGAGACAATAAAAGAGTCATAAGATTATTCTCATATAATTAAGGATAGTACTCATGAATTTGAGATGAGAATTAATGACCGTGGTGTAAGTTCTTGAATTTGAACTTCCCAGGATGTTACCCAGCTTAGTACTATTCAAACCCAAGGACACTTAACCCTAAATATTCTAAGATTTTTAACTAATTAGAAAAGGGGGTGCACTTTTATTCATGGGCCCTTTCCCTTTATATTTGAATTTTTATAAGTCGTCTCTCAAATCGTTCCTTTTGGTTACTTACAATCCACCACGTTTTCTTGCAAGTTCACGCCCTTGTGAACAAAAGCTGAGAGCTACAGCTCTTTTGAGAGCCCCACTCTCTTGACATCCTATCCCTTATGTCGAGCTCAATAGGAGCAAATTGGATCTACTAGATGTCAATCAACACGTGCAATTTCTTTAGCGAACCAACAAAGTCGGACCTAAGACCTTTCTAATACCAAAAGTAAGTTCTTGAATTTGGACATTTTAGGAGGTCACCCAGCCCAGTATTATTCAAACCCAAAGACGCTTAACCCCAAATATCCCAAAACTATTAATTAATTGAAAAAGGGGGTGCACTTTTATTCATGGGACTTTTTTGAACCCTTATGTATCGTCTTTCGAGTTGTTCCCTTTGGTTGCTTACACGTAGGAGGTCAAATATGGAAGAGGACACAGATCCTTGAAATGGTAACTAAAGCTACCTTTAACATGCTGAAACAACTTAGAGAGTTAGGGGTGTATTTAAAGGATGAGTTAGAATTCTCGTCATTTAGACAAATAGTCCTATGGGGGGAAGGGAAGTACACAGGGGAACAAAGAATAATCAAATGGTGGAGTAATATTTGTAAAGATAGTTCTTATGAGTAAA